TTTGACCCAATTTATCAGTGGCAGATAAAACCAAACAAATCAGAGGAGTCGCAGCTTCAAACTTGTTGCCCTTTGGCTGGCGTCTGATCCGTTCCTCCCTCTGACACTGTCTTTTCCCCACCTCTTTCGTCTTCTTCTCTTTGATCTGCTCGTCCAGTCTCTCTCCCCTCCCCTCTTTTCTCCACACTAACAGATTTCAAGTTCTGATAATCGATTGGTCATAATTTGTTTCGCAAGCTGCATGCACAAACACTCACCTCAGACTGAGGAGAGATGACTTAAGTATGATGCAGTTTTTGCAACTATAGAAAGTGAGTGTTTGTCCTGTCACCCAACTCTGCTGTGTTCCTTTAATCATCTGAAATAACTCACCTAATTATTTTGCAACAACCTGTAGCACTGTTCAGGAAACTTGGTTAGACAGTAGCATCACATCAAAGTTCACTCAGACCTCTTTAATAAATAACGGCAGCAGGGAAGTACAACTCTTCACCAACCAATATCAGATAGAGTAGTACAGACTTTTTGAATTTTAAATCTAAATTAGACAAGGCTGAAAGACTCTCTGACTCACAGTTATTGAGGCATGCTATTTGTATGAAATGTTCTAAGTCTGCTGTAAACTAGGCTATTCAAGATATCATTTATACCAAGAGTGTGGATTTGGTTAGGAGGGGGTTTCAGCCAGACAGAAATAAGCAAATGAAAATAAATAAGTGAAACTAGATGGGCACTCAAATAGTGCAGACCTCCACCAAGACCAATAGTCCAGGTTTCTATTATATGCAAATCTGCGAGTGCAACCACTATACATGTCTGGATATATTTCCAAAAAAAATGATTAGAATGATGACAAAATATGGTTGTGCCTAACTGAAGCCTTATAATCTCAACTGTATTAATGGTGTGCTCCTAAGTTGTAATATTTCACATACTTAACTAGGGATGTCAGTTTTGGTTTTGCTATTGGTAGCCCTACACCTACTAACTGGTAACTAACAGGTAGATTTTTCAGAGGAAAAAAGGCGTGAAATACAAGAGGCCTTTCGTTTTAGTGTGGTGACTCAATGACCTGTAGCGCCACATTTCAAAGCGCCATCCATTTCGAGGTGGTGAAATTTTAATGTTTGATGATTTTAATTTCTGTTGTCTTTGCTGACAGGCAGCTGGCTAGCTGTGTTAACATGGATACATTGTGGCCACTGCCCAACCTCCACTGGTTAGCCTATGTTAGCTTTAGCCGCACTGCACTGTGCACCACTCAGGTCAGGTGGGAGCTAGCCAGTGGCGCTGCTCATTTGGCGATCATAGCTAGTTACATTGTCACGGTGGTGGGATGGTGTTGCTGCCAAACATGGTGGCCACCCTCCCTTTAGCATTTTTGGTAGCTACAGTATGTTAGCACCACGAGCTGTGCTGACACTGCTAACTCTCCTTAGCAGAGCTGCTTGAGCGTGTGTGCGGCTAAATAATTGAGCTGCTTATGGTGTGTCTTAAATCACATACTTCCGTTAGTACACTTTTATGTACTATACTATGTGCACTATGTACTTATTGGCGTAGGGCACGAATTTCGACAGGGTAGTATTGTCTCAAACCAAACACGGCCGTTGTGCACTTACCGGAAATGACGACCTCAAATTTCGACCTCTTCTTCTTCTTTTAATGCCTAATTGTAAATGGCCAGTGGAGCATTACCGCCACCATTTGCCCAAAACGTCAAAATGTGCAGCTGTTAGCTAGTTAGCAAACTAGCATTAGCATTCGCGTTATCGTTCGCAGTACCACATCATTACAGACTCCTAAATTAAGCCAGTAAACATACAACTGGCTTATATCCGACAACAGTATAGTGGTGCTTAGTGCTAAGTGGGCCCCTTCCGCTACGTAGCCAAGATGGTGACCACTGAGGGCAAGAAGTGTCCATAGTTCCACACTCAACTTCTTGACCATTTTGAGCGCACCATCCGGGTACTCATAGTGCACTGCATTTTTCCATACTTCTCAGTGTGAACGCACTTATGCACTCAAAATATCAAGTGTAAGTACAGAAGTACGTGCCACTGTTGGGTCAGCACAGAGTTAATAGTAGTAATCAGCAAATGAGTGGAGCTGCTAGCTAGCTCCCATCAGACCCAGATAGTGCAGTAGTGAACTGAAGAATAGCAAAATACATCTATAAACTGCTCAAAAATATTCTTGGTAGTTAACAGTTGACATCCTTATACTATAGAACACTTTACAATCATGTACATATGTACGAATATCAAATGCTTACACTGAAATAACAAGCTAAGTGTGTATTTATGTTTCCGTAGCCATTGCTTAGCTTGAGAATAAAACATTTTTACAATTGTAGCGGTGTTACAGTTGTACCGTTACTCTCATAAAGCCACTGTCCGTGATGCTCCATAATGTCTGCTTTCTGTATGGTGTTTGAACAACTCCATGTTTAGACTACCCCAGATGATTATTGGTACCCCTGAATTTTGATTGTGATAAGGAGTCATCCTATTTCTGCAATTGGTTATGTTTTGTTATTATTGAGCTGTACTACCATCAACTGGATTTTAAGATGTCCTAATGCCAAATGCCCTATTTCGCAATGTTAAAGAAAGTGAAATCTCTTTCATGGATCTGCCCATCCTACACCCTACCAATACGTTACATGAAAATTGGTCCAGTAGTTTTTCAGTAATCCTGCTGACCAGTCGTATAGTGGAGGGTATACGCAGGGTATACCCACCTCTTTTTCTGTCTGTTTACAGTACACCCACCTATCAGCCAAAAAGCCATTTGAATATATACTGTAGGAGAGCATACGCACTTCCTCCTTGGTAACCTAACTTTCCCGGTGGTACATCTACCACATCAACTATCACTACACCACTGCTGCCGACAAACTGACAAACAAACCAAACTGAAAGCACAACTTCCGTGGTGGAGGTAATTTCTACCAAATAACACCTTATAATGCAACCGGTCTTATTACCTACCTTCTATAAGTCAACTAAAATAATTTGAAATGTGGTCTAACTATCTATATTATTAATGAGCCAATCCTGAAAACTAATTTCAGAATCATTGATAAAGAAGTTAATTAATGATCACTGGTTCATATTCATTTTCTACATATTAATTCTGATCTTTTCTGAAGTATTCACTTAAAAATTAGGAACACTTTTATAAAGTGAAACACTGCTTGCATATTTAATGGTGGAGCTCTTGCAGATGTCATGGGAGAGATCAGAGGCTGAGGAACTTTAGCTCTCTGGATTAAGTGCACTGGGAAAGAGTGCAGCAGTCTAGTCAGAAGATGAATGGAGCTCGAAGAGGGAGATGAGCTGATTCTGCTGAGAAACACAAAAAATCCAAAGATGCGCTGTCACATACTTTATATTTTTCTGCCTTTCTTGACTACTCCCCCAGTGGTCGCGTCAAATGAGGCCTTTTCACTTTGCTCCTTTTCAAAGCAAAGCACCAGAGAGATCCTCGTGAGCACTTTTGACTTTGACGCCCACTTAAGTCGCTCGTTCATTTTTAGTCTCTGGATCTCTTCCCACCTGGTTTTTATATTCCATCAAGCTGCTCTACCTTTTTGATGCAAAGTAGCAAATGATTGTGTGGGTGAGGGTGCTGCTCTCACAAAAGGATGTGTTCTGTGAGTCAGACCATGATTGGTTGGTTGCAGTTTATCAACATGAACACTTTGAGTGCTACTCATGAAGAAAAATTCAACAGTTTTATCACTTTAAATTTCCAAAAATAGAAATATTGAGGATGAGTTTCTATTGATGCCACTTTGTGGAGGCTTTTCGCTTTTATCTGGCATTTTGCCTCTGACTCACACTCCCAGTTTTCTCACATCCACACACATGCCACTACATGACAACATGCCACTGAGGTTGTGTGCCCATGTAATTGGATGAGAGGAATCATGTGGAGCTTTGTGCCCCCAGGCATGGCCTGCCGGCTCGCTCTGATGCCCCTGTTTCAGCTGTCTGCAGCCACTTAACTGTCCTGGATGGGCTAAGGCTCTCAAAATCTCTCCCCTGCGGCGGCTTTTTAAGTGACCATGCTTTACCTTTGACCCGTTGTAACTGGCAGTTCGCTCTAGTCCAGCGCAGGTTTGGTTGCAAGATCAAGCCTTTCTCAGTTGCTCTTTTAAGCCGGCAAAACATAATTTACTTGACTCCAGCACTGCGGCTCCCATGGGTCCAGAGCCTGGAAAGTTTACAGCACAGCTAAGTAGCCATAAAGGGATTTGGAGGCTCGAGTTTCTCTCACATAAACTGTTCAGAGAGGAGAGTGAGGAATACTTTTTAGCAATATAATAAGATGATCATTGCTCATATTTCTTGCCCCATCTGACTTCCATTTAGTAATATTACCATGTTCCAGATCTCAGCAATTAACTAAACAAGCTACAAAATATGACCCAAGTTGTAATAAACCAGAAATATCCTTTAAGTGGTTTCCCTTTGTTTCCTGCTGATGTCGAACAGGAGAAATCCCTCGGCCACTCGTGGTGTGGTTGTGTTTGTGGAGGAACTGAAATGAAGGCCTGGCTGAGCGCACATGTAGGCGAGCCGCTGAAATTATCATTAGTGTCTAGCCCAGTGGTCACTGAGGGGGCTGTTAATTTCACACTCCTTCTTGTGTCAATATTACTGCAGCTCAGACTCATAAATATATGCAGTACCTCTCAAAACAAACTAAGCCGGAAATTTTCCAGGCTCGCTCACTGGAGGACCTGCTGTTTTCTGTCCCAGTGCGTTTGCCAGAGCCGGTGTGCATGCTCTGAGCTTGTCCGTGCATCTGAATGCTGAATGCATTTTAATGTGTGTATGCATTCGTAAAAGAGAAGGAGAGAGAGAGATCTTTCCGCTCATTGCATCCGTTCTGCTGGTGGAAAAGTATTTCCACACATGCCAGTGGCTCTGAATATGCTGATTGTGATTAATTATTTTGGGTTTGTTCCTCACCCCTATTCCATCCAGGTTTAGTCCAGAAGGTAGACCAGCGCCTCCCTGTGGCCAACGAGTACCTGCTGCTGTCAGGTGGGGCACGGGAGGGAGTCTTGGACCTGAACCCCGAAGACCTTGGGGACTACGCCAAAGGGGCAGACTTTGACCTGGACTTCACCCTGCTTGTACCTGCCCTCAAGCTCCACGACCGCAACCAGCCCGTCACCTTGGACATGAGGCACTCCCCGCCCTGCCACTCATGGCTCAGCCTTCGCCTCTGCGACTCCAATGTCTTGTCCCGCTGGAGCATCTGCTGCCAGGAGGAGAATGGGCTTCCTGCTGAGGAAGATGAGGAGGAAGAGGGAGAAATAAGTAAGTCGAATAAGTCTGATTATGATTGCAAGGACAGAAGACGAAAGAACAGTGAGGGTGGACAGAAAGAAGAGCAGCAGGGATAGTGGAAAATAAGAAAAGACAGACGAAGACTACAGTGGAAGGAAAATGGGTAAGCAAGTATTAAAAAAAAGATGAAGAGATAAGTGAAGGGAGGGAGGAAGGAGTGGAATAGACAACAGTGAAGGTACTGTAGCAGTGCAGAGTGGAAGGAATGGGAGCTGATTGAATTTCGTTCATGTTTCACAGAGATAATTTGATGCATGATGTTGTGATGCAATTTCGCCCAGCGAGCAGCAGCCGAGGCCCGCGCTCGTCTAACTCCTCAGATAGGTGAGACGAGAAATGCCTCCCCAGGAAATACACGCTGAAACATTTATGAGTATAACTTCACAACCGAAAGTTCAAGCTCACGCGGCGGCTTCCAGATTTACAAAGCGACATCAATCTGCCACACGCTTGCGAGTGTGAGACTACGGAGATGAGAAAAAAAAAATAATGACATTTATTGATATGAATCGCTTTAATTTTCTGGCAGTTTGGAAAAACATATTTGCCACATTTTCTGGTCGTATCGTAACACTTCCCGCAGGGTCTTGTGTTACAGTGTTTGTGGTGGTAGGATGGGGTGATTCAGGATATAAATATATCCCAGCAAAATGTTACTGGAAGGTTAAAAAGAGGACAAAAGTGACAAGAGTTCAACTCAGATTTGATTTTTGACAGCTAAGCATTGGCACCTTTCTGCTGCTATTGCTTTTAACAATACAACAAGTACCCAAAGGTCTTCTTAAGGAAGTAACAGCGTTTAGTTTGCTTGTGTTGTCCAATAGTCCAGTATTGTGTAATGTATTACATGTACAAATTAAACAGAGAGAAATGTTGCAAGTTATTTGATAAGCTAGAATCAGAAATTGTTCTAGCATTGGTAAATCTGGTGTATTGGTTACTATGGATAAGATGTCTGTTTTGGGTAATTTTGCTTTTTATATCGGTGAAGACTCTCAGTCATCCAGGTCATGGTAATCATAAGTGCTATATTGTAGGCCACTTCAAGAAACTCAAGCCAGTCCAGTTGCCTACAACATGGCACTTAAGATTTGCTTTTTTGCTTAAATTTTTGACCAGTGCTTCTTTGACTCAGTGAGCTTTAGCGCCACGTTTCAAAGTGCTAATCATTTGGGGGTGGGAATATTTAAGCTTTGTGATGTAAATATCTTTTATTTTATTTTGTCTTCTATTGGCTTGTGGAAACATAGTGCCCACCACCCCACCCTCCTATCTCCACTGGTTAGCTGACATTACCCTTGCCAGCTCCACACTGCACACCACCTGGGTCGGGCGTGAGCAAGCTAGGGCGGTTACCACAGGTAATTAGTGTGGTTGCAGAAAAATGGCGGCCACCCTCCAGTTTACCCCCAGATCACCCCAGTAAGTAAACTGCTTCTTTAACTATGTTAGTACCAAGTGCCATGCTGACACTGCTAACAGTGCTACCAGAGCTAACAGTGAATGGCAATGCTAAAGGGGGATTGCGGCTCAAAATTGAGTTGCTTACTTACCAGGGCAACCTCGGGGGAGACTGAAGGGTGGACACAGTGTTTCCACAGCCACTCTGTTGTGTCGGGATTGTGTTACTAGCAGTAATTGCTGAATGAGTGACACCGCTAGCTAGCTCCCACCAGACCCTGTGCAGTGCAGTTAACTGAACTTTTCAGTAGTTAACCAATGACTTCTCTAATCCCCCACCGCTCCCTCTCCTCCTTACTCAGGTAAAGGCTCTATCCCCTCCCTGGACTCTCCTCAGTCTCTGGACGGATGCTACTTCTCTCCCTCCCTGGTGACAGACTGGTTCTGGGGGGTGGTGAGCGAGGCTGTGGAGGAGCTGAGGCGCAGCCCCCAGAGAGGCATTCCCACCCCAGATCGACTGGAGAGGAATGGACCCCTCACCACTATCATCCTCCAGGTACACATTGCTGAAAAATGTCTGAATCAATAAGGAATGACAGGCTGCTTAAAGGTTCCCTGTGGAATTTTCTTGTAAACATAATAAAAAAAAAAAGTTATGTTCACCCTCCTCTCTGCAGGCAGGCTCGAGCCGGGTGCTGTATGACCTGCTGCCTGTGGTGTCGTTTCGGGGCTGGCCTGCTGTGGCCCAAGGCTGGCTGACCGCCAACCACTTCTGGGATGGTAAAATCACAGAGGAGGAAGCTATATCTGGTTTCTATCTGCTGCCCTGCTGCTCCCCGCTGGGCGGTCGCCCCGACAGGGAGTGGAGGCTGGCATTCTCACGCAGCGAGGTGAGTAGATTGTAACTGTGACTATTATTTTAGTGTCATGTTTGGCGCCACCTTGTATTAGGTTTAAAGCATCGGTACAATATTTCCGTCTGTTTTTCTGTCCTTGTTTATTTGCCTTTCTTTTTTCTTTTTGTCCCACACCATCTGTGTATCTCTCAAATATTCATGTTAAGTTTACCACTATACATTTAATCCTGTTTGTTCCTAATTCATTGGTCCCCTGTTTCTCTTACTACCAGGTTCAGTTGAAGAAGTGCATCCCTTACCCCATGGCTCAGGCTTTCCAAGCAGCCAAAGCCGTGTTGTCTCGTATCCTGGCACGTCCACGCACAGGCCTCAGCCTCTATCATCTGCGTACCCTTCTCTTCTGGGCCTGTGACCGACTCCCCGCCGCCTATTTGTCCTGCCCTGATGCAGACACTCCAGGCCGCCTCCTCCTGGGTCTCTTAGATGACCTGGCACATTGCATCCTGGGTAAAAACTGCCCAAACTATTTCCTGCCCCAGTGCAACATGTTGGAGCACCTGACAGACAGCCAGGCGCTGCTCGTCGCCAGGAAGCTGGCCCATGTGCGCTCGGATCCCAGCGAGCACCTCCGGGCGGCTCTGGACCAAGCCCAGCAGGCGGGCCAGCTGAAGAAGGAACTCACAGCTAGCACCAACGGCCACGGCTCCCCTGGCCACCACCCAGCCAATGGCATCATCTCCCCTTCGGAGGACAAGCTGGCGCAGCGACTGCAGCAGCTGGTCACGGAGAACCCTGGGAAATCCATATCGGTCTTCCTCAACCCTGATGATGTCACCAGGCCACACTTCCGCATCGATGACAAGTTCTACTGATGCAGACACGCTGCAGAGAAGACGTGTGGAAATGTGTGTGTTTAGCTTACGAACACACTCTAAAAATGCTCTGAGACGTCACATCAGAGGAGACGGAGACTAAAAACCAGGCAGGTGTTTTCCTTTAGAACCCTGCGGGCCTGGAACTGAACACACTCCTGCTGTTCACCATCCTGAGGCTGAACAATGAAACAAAGCCTTGCTGCTTGACCGACTCTTTAAACCAAAAACACACATGTCCTACTACTGACAAATATAGCGGACGTCGCACAACAGACATGATGTCACCGAGCTGTTGCCACGGAGACGGCCCTCTCCTAACGAGCTGGCCTTAATGAGACTTATCAGCTGGTGCTACAAAGACAAGGGCCGGCTTTAGTTGTGTGAAATAAGTCCAGTGGAGCTCAACACTGAGTATGTGTGTGTGTGTATGTGTGTATATGTACGCCTAAGGGTTTTCACATATTACTAACACTTCTAAAGACAGAGGGAGAAAAGCTCCTTGATCGCTGCATTTCTCTCCGTTTTATTTTAGATCAGAGTGGGTGATGGCTGAATTAGAAAGGAAAAATAAGGTGTGGCTGATGTAACTGAATGTAATGTTGTGAGGAGAACTGCCGAGTCTTTGAACAAAGAGTCTCTTTTCTCTGTCAACTACATTTTAGCCCTCTTGTTTGACCCCCATGCCTCGATTTATGGCATCTATTTCATTTAAAAAAATCTTTCTCAGGTATTCATAATACTTTAATAATTCATAATACCTTTTTTTATGTATATTATTCCTTGTTAGGTCTTAAACTATATTTCAATGCCGCTTACATTTCATTGGGTAATGGAATGTACCAAAGAGCTGTGTTTTTCAAAGAGAAACATGCGTCTTAGGCATCCCTTAGCATCTGCTCTTGATCAAACCTGAGTTATGGTCAGAATGTTAATATACCTTTTCTCCTACTGAAGCCCTGGTCACACCAGAATAAAAAACAGCCACATTTTGCAGCAAATTCAATGGAATAGGAGCGATAGCAGAGGTTGCATTAACCAACTATTTTCCATTATTAACTGATTTTTTTTTATCAGTGATGGAAAAATCCGAAGTCCCTCCATCATTTTGACATATTCAAACACTGAGGGCAATCTACAATAACTTCAAGTCATTCACACCCCTCACCAGTTGGTGGCGTGTGCATATTAATCAGCTATCTCGCCTTTGATCTCATGTTCATGACCTTGTTGTCTAGCTGGCTTTAGCCAAAGAGGTTACCTCTTTGCTTTAGCCATCACATTGGTTGGCGATATTACTACATATCACTGCAAAATGACACAGCAGTTCATTTTGTTTCTTTAAAAACTCTTTAAAATAATTGTGATGACGTTGATGAATGAGGTGAAAAAGTAGGGCTGGTCAGTTCACCCAAGCCCCGAGAACAGCATCAGGCTTTAAAACCAATTTTACATAGTGGCCAAACGTGGAATTACAACTTCCGGCTCTGTCACGTGATGCCATTTGACCCAAAAATACTTCTTCCCATAGACTAACATTGTGAAAGAGATTTCTGTAAGTCAGTGGAAACATTTCTTTGAGTGTCAAAACCCACTATCGCGATTTGATCCATTCAGTCCGATAATATATCCAAATTCTAGAGAAGTCGCATGATTAAATTGTTTTATCCATATTTAAGTTAGCAGAAAGCTAAACCTGAAGTTAGCTGCTTGGCTGGTGTACGTTTCTAGTGTGCCTTCTCTGTGGGCCCAAAGATGTGGAAGGTCCGAGCAATTTTGAAGCCACGGAAATCAAGGTTTTTTTGGCATCATGCGCAGCTGAGCTGGTTACAGCCTCCAACAGTGTATCCAGCTTTCTTTATATGCCAGTGAGAACAAGCTGGTTAGCACGAGCTGACACAGCAGTGGCTAACATCAAACACAGAACTGTCAAACGGCCTCAAACTCGACACCGAAAAGGCTCAACTCTAATTAAATCCGTTGATAACCGTTAGGTAACGTTAGCCGCGTGTTGCTAATACTTAGCCCTGTCACTGTATCAGTGTGGGCAGACTCTCACAAACTGTCCCTGGCGCAGAGTCACCAGACCCTGTCTGTATAAAATGATGGCCAACAAATAAGTCTAATGCAACCTCTGAAGCGTGGTTGTACTTTGCATACAGACGTGGGTTAATTTTGTTGTGCTGCTTTCTGGTGCGACCAGGCCTCAGAAAAAGGTTAAGACTGAAAAGGTTTGAGATGTTAAATATGTTATAAACTGGTTAATTCTATTATAATACTGTGTTTTTCTTGTATTGTACTAAGATATGAGTTGTTACATTTGAGATATTCTTGGAGCTTGTTCAAGTTCTTGAGTCTACTACCTGAGCAGACATTTTGGTCTTTGGTGTTTGGAGTGTTAAGCTAGGCCCTTTATAAGGGATTTAGAATATATAACCCTAAGTATGGAGATACAAGGATTAAGATTATCAGGAGTGTATTGATCACGTAAAAATGGATTGGATTAAAAAAAGACAGGTACAGAATAGCTGTAGAGTCAGGACTTCGGCTATTTATCTACCACAGTCACGACTGCGTCAAGGTACTTAACTGTCAAAGTATCCCACAAAGGGCCCAGCACATCTTGTTGCACATCATGTAAGCGTGTCTATTAACTTTTCTCTGCAGAAACTCTCAGTTTTGTGTGTGTCTCATTCGATTTTTTGGAAACTAGTTCTGACTTGAGTGATTCTGATAATTGTCCCCCTGTCTCCTCTGCTTGGTTGGTCTTTTTTAATGAGCTATGTGTGTGTATATGTGTGTTCACCGAGAGAGGAGCCGCGCAGCAGGACACAGACAGACACCCAGATGCTGCCCATTGAATTATACCCTCAGTGGGTGTGTGTTAGTCGCTGGGCCCTATCGTTCCTCACCAGACGGGAGTCATCCACAGGGGGATGGAGAGAGGATGGATGGAGGGAGGGAGACGGGTGCTGCTCTGGTCCTTTGAAGAGGAGAGATGGGCCTTGCGGGGCCTGGACAACTGCCTCTTTCCGTTGCCGTTTTTCTCTGCCTATTTCTGTTTTTTCCTCTTTCATTTTCTTTCACTCTTCCGGCTGTAATGTTCCTATTTATTCCTCCCTCCTCCCATCCAGATTCCTCCTCAGAGGTTTGGCATCTTTCTGTCTTTTAGCACTGGAGGTCCAGAGCAACAAAAAGCCCCTCCAACCTGGTACTACTCCAACCTTATGTTTACACTCTTCACACTGATTTGATTAGGAGCTGTGCAGCCTGCAAATGCTTTAGTGGAGACAACAAGTAACCAGACAAGCATTAATGTTGTCACTTGCATTAGTTTTGTGGCTCTTACTTGTTTTACCTTAATGGATTTGAGGCGGAAAGTTGGCTGAACGCTAACTGCAAACAAACTGATGGGTAAACTTTGACGTGATGGGGTTTACCAAGCACTAAACTGCTGCTTCCAGTGTTGCTGCATAGGCAGGGTTTAAACGCTAAAAAGCACATGATTGGTTAAGTTTACATAAATATCAAGGTGGTGGTGGTTAGTTGTGATAGTTAAGCTGCAGATGGATTGTTTTTCCTTCAGACATTTCTGAGTTACATATCACAACATCTGGGTCTATAAATTTCATGTGCTTACTACTGAATGTTTTTTCGTCGCAGCATCTGTCTGTAATGGTGTGTGTGTGTGCGACTGTGTGTATGAACCTGAGGAAACCAAAGCGTGTTGTTGGAGTGGTGCAGAATGTCTAAGCAGGGTGTGTATTCAGCTTGCCAGGTGTATTTTCAGCACTTTTTTTTAAAGACGGGCTCAAATGTGGTTACCCAAATTGTACAAGTTTTGAATAGTCATAAAGCAAATTTATTTATTGGAAAACATAGTTGATGTAAAGATACTTTCTCATCGCCTCTGTAATGTTTGAGTTGTTGAAAGTGTAAAAAAATGTGTGTCTCACTTTGTACCTTAATGGGCCTAGTTAGAGATTACTAGACACTGGAAACAATCAATGTTTTTTCCTGAATTGTACACGTGAATATCAAATCCTGTATTTTAAGATAGTGTCAGTTTCTAGATATGCAATCAAGCCCTCTATGGAAAGGTCTACTCTAATTCTAAGGTTAACTGTCGTTGTGATTCACTATCTGCTGTCCAGGGATTGCATGAAACACGGATGACACTCCCAAACCTCGGTCTCTGCTCCGTGCTACTCTATTTATAATCATTACTGGGTTTTTTTGTGCTGAAACTTCTGATGATTCTGTTTAAGATTCAGTCGGCTTCTGCGGATAAATAACTGACTAAATACGATGAATGTATCCACTGTATCTCTCTAATCTGTTCCCCACTCGAGGACACATCAAATCTAATTTCTCACCGTTATCTGCACAGATGTACTCCGGCCTGTAGTCAAGTGCTAAGATAAGAATCTGTACCAAATCACTCCACAGTTTGAGAAATTGAATTTCATATCTCTTTTATTACTTGAGCTCTTTCTTTTTTTAAGTAAGTGCAAATTATTTTCTCTGTATCATGGCTGATTTGCTGTATTTATTACTGTTATTTTCTGGGGGTTTATATTGATCAGTCTTCAAGCTTTAGCATGAAATAAATCACTACATTTCAAATCACATTGTGTGGCAATACATTTGTCATATGTGCTTTAGTTTTATTTATCTCACTGTTTTAAGGAGACGGGGTGATTAAAAGAAAACTACTCATCCTCTGTGAATCATGACTACAGTGTCAGTTAATTTGAGCTGCAACACATGCAGTGTCCAACAGAGGGCGCTCTAAGACAGTGTTTGTGCTGAGACTGTTTCACCTGAGTCTGTTCTGCTCTGTCACACTGTGTTAGGAGAGTGAGAGGATGCTCCAGGTCGACAGTACACACACAGATCCACATGCTGTCAGTATTAAAATACTGGCTTGATGAATGGTAGTGCAGAACTTTTTTTTTTTTAAAGATATTTTTTTGGGCATTTTTAGCCTTTAATGGATAGGACAGACAAGTGTGAAAGGGGGAGAGAGAGAGAGGGAGTGACATACAGCTAAGGGCCACAGGCTGGAGTCAAACCTGGGCCGCTGCGGCAACAGCCTTGTACATGGGGCGCCTGCTCTACCACTAAGCCACCGACGCCCCAGAACTTTTAAGACTATGAGGAAGTCAAGAAGAATTAAAGATTACCTTAGTTACTATAGCTACCAGACTTGTCTCTACAGAGTTTGTCTGCGACTTAGTAAACACCAAAAACAGAGAGGGTCATGGTAACATAAGACTTTTTCTTGTCCATAGAAAAGGCCAATGATCAGGTAAGAATTGACTTTCTTTCCTAAAGCAGCGCAGTCTTACTTATGATCTAATGTTGTCTATTTTTCCTCTAAGGTGTCTCTATGCTGCAACAATTACTCCAAATACCAAATCAGTATCTTACAGGACACCGTACATCGTAACGATGTTATTGTGGTAGCTAAAAAAAGTCTCCATGTTGGGGCACTTTACTTAAGACATGGACTATTCATATACTGTAGTTTGTCCCTAATGCAGGCATGGATTAATACACGGGTCATCTTAGGCTCCGATATTGGGGCCCCATGTGTGCTAGGGCTCCAGATTGACCAGACTATATTTAATTATTCAAATTTACCTCAGAGAAAACCCTTTACCCCTATTAGCCCATAAGAATCATAAAAATTAAGGAGCTGATTGAGTAGATGTTGGACACACCTACCCAATAATCAGTTAGCCCACATGATGTCAGGTTCATAAAGCCAATGTGGTTTTCAAATAGTATGTCCCTGCTGTTAGATGGCATTTTTTTGGCAAAATGTCAAAAAAAAAAAATAAAAAAATAGAATATACTAGTAAATAACAAAACGAAAAGCACAGAAGCTGAAAGAATACTGTGCCCAAGATCTGCAAAAGAAAATCCCTACATTGACCAGATCTTTCAAAGCTTCTGGATCTTCATCTAGTCGACAACTACATCATGTCCACAGCAGGAGACTGCCAGCTAAAGGTTGACATTAGCCTGGCTGAAAAACATGCAACAGGATCCTTAGCTAGCTCTAGCCATGGCAAAGACACAAGCAAAGCCCACTAACCATGGCTCATGATCTTACTAAGAAAAGGAGTCTTAGCCAGACGGACGAACACTTCAACCACTCAAGACGCCAGTATGTTCTATCAACACCTCAGGGAGTAGGCATAGGCAATGTTATATTCCTCAGAAGGTTTTACACATGGGACTAGATTACTTTTCTCCTGGTAAAGCATGATAAGTAAGGGGGTGGCCCCCACAAAGAGTAGCCTAGGGGCCCATGACCACCTTAATCTGCCACTGCCCAAATGAAATTAACCCAAAAGAAGAGTAGTAGTATTAGAGGCATGCTCCTATTTTTGCAGAACATTTCGAAATGACATGCCATGCGCATTACTTGGAGGATTAAAGAAATGATGGTCGATAAATTAATTACTCTTAACTCAAAAGTCTCTTTTTCAAACAGGGAACATGGCAAAGTATCATTTTGAAAGTTCTTTTAAGAACCTTGAAGAAATACCCACGTTAGGGTTCCTTGAAAATTCTTGGTCATAAACTGGTAATCATAGCCTATGCCGAGGACATATATGCAGTTGCGTCCCCAGGTGGTCCCTGACATTTTATATATTTAGCTATTGTCTGTCATTAGTTATGTGATGATGGTGCAGATGTTTTTCGGTACAAATACACATCATATCAATTTTTTTTATTCGTACCTCAAACCACATGCACGCACTGACAGCAGCAATCTGTTGATGTCTGTTAAGCAGATTATGAAGCAAGGAATTCACTGGATTGTGTTAGTTACAGATGTGAGTGTCCACACTATGACCTCATGAATGAGTGAGACAATTAGGTATTACATTTCACTGGAGTCCAGCCTCATGGTCGCTTAGGTTTCAACTTGAAACTGTCTATTTGTTTTGTTTCAGACTCTTATCCTCTGTCATTGTTCTCAGGTTTTTCAATGGTTATGAATGGATTTCTTTTTAGCCACTTTGTTCCAAACTGAAATATCTTAACATGTATTGGATGGATTGCTGTAAAATTTGGTGTAAATGTTCACGTCCTCCTCAGGATGAACTACATTAACTCAGGCAGTCCCTTCGTAGTGAGTGTCAGCACATAGTTCATCTGTCCAACGTGCAACTTCACTGTTTTTGTACACTTTCACCACACTCACAGCGCTGTTCTTGTTTTCAGTGAAAAAGCTTGACAAACCCATCTGCAGAGACACGGCTTTAAATGAATGCTAACATGCCCTGTATCTGCTGGATGTGTAAATTAGCAACTTGGCTAACATGTTTCCCATTTGATCTTAATTTTCTATGTTCAAAATTTCCTTCCTCTGCCTCCATGTGGCCAAATAAATACATTTTTGCAAGTTTAACTTTTCATCTTATGACCAAATACCTGCCCAGCCTCACAGTGCAGTAAGCATGGCTGTAGACATTTAATCTTGTATTCATAAGAAAAATAGTGTTTTCTTTACCAGCTGGCACCCTAGGGAGCATTTCATCACATTTACTCCACTAAAAGTACACCCAAGAGCTTTCTCCATTTACGGGCACCATAGACAGGGCTTAATCACATTTTCTCCACCATGAAAGCACCCTAGAGGGCACTGTATCATAGTTTCTCCACTGGAATGGCACCCCAGTGGGAACTTCATCACATTTTCTCTACTGTAAGGGCACACAGGAGGACACTTCATCATAATTTCTCTCCTGGGAGGGCTCCTAAGAGAGCCCTTTATACATATTTTCTCCACTAGAAGGGCACCAGAGAGGGCACTTCATAACATTTTTCTCCATTTAAGAACGCCCTAGAGTGCACTTCATCACGTTTTCTCCACTGGAAGAGCACCCTAAGAGGCACTTAATCACATTTTCTCTACTGAAAGAGCACACTTGAGGGCACCTCTACATGTTTTCTCCACTGAGAGGGGTACCTTGATGGCACTTCATCACACTTTCTCCACTGGAAGGCCACTCTAGGGGCACTTAGTCATGTTTTCACCATTGGAAGGCCACCCTTGTGAGCACTTAATTACATTTTCTCCCCAGCAATGGCACCCCAGAGGGCACTTTATCAAATTTTCTCCACTGGAAGGGCACCCTAGGGGGAACTTCATCACACTTTCTCCACTGGAAGGCCACCCTAGTGGGAACTTCATCACATGTTCTCTACTGTAAGGGCACACTTCAGGGCAGTATATACATATTTTCCTCACTAGAAAGGCACCAGAGAGGCTACTTCATAATTTTTCTCCATTTCAGAGCACCTTAGAGTGCACTTTATTACATTTTCTCCACTTGAAGAGCACCCTAGAAGGCACTCTATCAAGTTTTCTCAACTGGAAGGGCACACTAGAAAGGACTTAATCACATTTTCTCCACTACAAGGGCATCCAAGGGGGCACTTTATCACATTTTCTCTACTGGAAGAACACACTGGAGGGCACCTCTACATGTTTTCTCCACTGGAGGGCCACCCTAGGGGGCCCTTAATTACATTTTCTCCAATGGAAGGCAACCGTAGAGGGCACTTTATCATGTTGTCTCCGCTAAAAGGGGGATCTTAAAGGCAATTTATGTTTTCTCTACTGGAAGGCCACCCTTTGAGTCCACCGCTGCCACTATGACATCATGCGTTCCCATCCTACCTGCAGTAATCCCTTGCCAGTAATTGTGACCAAATCTCCCTCGTAAATAGGCCACTGTAACCTCAGCCCTCCGGCAGCTTGGACAGTTTGTGTGTGTTTGTGTGAACGAGGCCAGGCTGTAACTCCATAGCGCCGGGCTGTCTGTCACTGAGAAACTGGGGCTGAACGGGGACATGTGTTCACCTGACACACACAACAGTAACAGGAGTGGACCATTGTAAGCTCACCCTGTCACCCTAGTTACATCCTGCATAAATGAAGAGGTCTGTCGGTGTGTGTGTGCCATCACTGTGTGTGTGTGTGTGTGTGTGTGTGTGTGTGTCCCAAATGTGTTTTCAAAGTCAGGGAAAAAAATGCTCAGTGGAGCTATCATAAATCCATAACCTCAACCTAGAAGCGTTTAGGCAGGAAAGCTGGATGTTGCAACCTCCTTAACGCCTCACTTACCTGATGGAGTTCACACACGCCATCTGTAGGTGTGTGTGTGTGTGCATGTAAGAGCTAAACCCCCACAGTGGTGTAATCCCTGTTAGTTTCTGGTGACTGGTCAGTGCAGCACATCCAATCTATCTTTCATCTCTCTGTCCCCGTTTCTTCCTGACCAGGACACCCCTCCACACACACTCTATTGTTTCATATTTACAGCCTCTTTCCTTTCCTCACCATCCCACCCTCAGTGCGTGTGTGTGTGTGTGTGTGTGTTAAACTTGTTCCTGTGCCAGTGTGCATTAATCTCCATTACAGAATCACGTGTATTAAGAGTTTGGAGGAGAGAGAAAGAGAGGACAACCAGGAGAGAGCTCTGCATCTATCCCTGCTGTGGTTTTCATGCTGATCACACGTTGCGGGTGTCTCCCAACCTTTTACCCTTGTACAGTTTCAGCTGGTCCTTTCTGGCCGATCTGCAAAACCACACGTCGTTATAATGGCCCCGTCATAACACATTGTAAATCTCACATCATTAAGCTGAAAGTTTTCAGTTCTGCTTGATTGATGCACATTGAAATTGTTGTAAAATTCATGATT